AATTTCCATATTATCTAGCAAAAGAATCACAATTATTTACATTAAACAAATTAAACCTAAAAACACAGTGTCCATTAAAATAATAAAAAATTTTCAAATTATATTTGATAAACTGATCGATATTACTTAAGAAAGAACGCTATTTCCACAAATTTCTAAGCCAAATCTAACATTACTAAAACCATAGATTGCAGAGCAAAGCACCCCACATTTAAATACATTTAAAAAAAGAAAAACTTATCATTATTGAGTGTGTAGACATCTAGTGCTGTCCATTACGCAGGCGGGTGAATTAATTTTCTTATAATAAGTTTAGAATTTCCACGAATCACTAGCGGGCTGGTGGTTAATGCATATCAAGCAGAAACCAGAATTATTCGGTTGGGGTGACCATTTTAATTTTTTTTTCGAATGGCTTATTTATCTAAATAGAATCTCCAGAGAGTTTAATTCAGCATAGCTTATCAAACTGTAAGCATTAAAACTTACTATTACATGTGTTATTATAACATGAAATACGGTACGTCTACTATTAGGGCCTACATTGTATTTTCGAATCAAACATAATATCTTTCTTTTTTGTTATTCCCTTTCTCTTTCTCTTCTTCCAAGTATCATACCATAACTTCGTAAATAAATAATTACAGGAAAGACAATAAAAAAAAAGCTTATGAAGATGAAAACTCCTAGTCACATGTGCAAATAAACATATAATAATGAGTGTGTAAAGGCTTTAAATAATCAGTAAAACTGATCAATATTATTGACATCTAGAGAAAAAAAAACTACATATTTCTGGGACAGTGTAAGTATACAATTAAATATTGTAAATATAAATTTATTGAATTATCATAGTTTGTTTCTTAGAAATACAAAAAAAAGAGAAAAAATTAAAGGTTAAAAGGTTAAAGGTTATTCATTAATAATAAAATAAAAGAATAAGAATAATAAGAATAAATGAAAGAACATTCTGCAATTTCCATATTATCTAGCAAAAGAATCACAATTATTTACATTAAACAAATTAAACCTAAAAACACAGTGTCCATTAAAATAATAAAAAATTTTCAAATTATATTTGATAAACTGATCGATATTACTTAAGAAAGAACGCTATTTCCACAAATTTCTAAGCCAAATCTAACATTACTAAAACCATAGATTGCAGAGCAAAGCACCCCACATTTAAATACATTTAAAAAAAGAAAAACTTATCATTATTATTTAGTTGATTAACATTATTTCTTGGAATTACAAAATGAAAATGAATAAAAAAAAAGAATAATTGTTATTTCAACAAGCTTCTTTTAAATAAAAAATAATATCAAATTGGGTATAATAAATTAAATTTCAAAAAAGAACATTCTATTTCTAATTTCAATATTTTCAAGCAAGAGAATGAACATTGTACAAATTAAACCTAAAAACGCTGAATGCATTAAATTTAAAAAAATTATCATAAATAATATTTAAAAAAATGATCACATTTTTATAAATAAAAAAATACACATTTAGTAAACAATATTTCTTAGAATTTCCAAACGAAGGTGAATCAATAAGTAAAAGAACATTAAAAAAATAACAAGCTTCTTTCAAATAAAACAATTCAATCAATGTACTAAATATTAATTAACCACAAGTTTTCAAATTGAAAGTGAACATTATGAATTCAATTTCCATAAAATGTAGTAAAAAAGATATTTAAAATATATATCTTGATTGTAAAGCAATATATCATCGTAGACCTATAATAGGAATATGTAAAAAAAAAAAAACAGATGTAGAAAAAAGTAAACCGAACAAATTATAAAATTTTATTAATTAACAATAATTTTATGAATTACTTAAAATTATTAACCATATTGTAAGAGCAACTCGTTTCTATACTTCCATTTGAAAATAAACACGTGCTTATGTCAAGATTCCCAAACCAAAAAAAATGAAAACTTCAATGCTAAAAATTACCTTGACAGTTTCGCTGTTCTCTTTACACACGAACAGCTTCTTCAGAAGAATGCAGGGGAGGATCCAGAAAAAATAAATGATAGAGTTAAAAGGAAGAAAGAAAGAGGGTAAAAAAAGGAAGTGTACCCATGAGTTCACCGGTGAATCCAGCAGAGGGCGAAAGGAGAGCTCGATTATTTTACCACTCAATAATTTAGAATTTTCTATTGATTGACGACAAACAAAACGCTATATCCTCGACACCGATTTCTTTTTTCCAACGATTTCATAAATCAGAATGTAAAAAAGGCCAAAAGACGGAGACCTAAGTTTTTTAGCCGGAAGTACCCAGCTGTAGAACAACTATCTATGCTCAGTGGCGTGACGCCTGCGCTCTTGTGCGACGGTCCGCAGGGCCACCGACCCTTAGGTATACCCAGTGGTGGCGCCAGAGGGGGCTGGGGGGCTATGACCCCCTCGTCGTGGAAGGCTAGCCCCCCCCCCCCGGGTCGGGGAAGACGAATACATTCCGTCGGGGAATACAAAAAAAATGTGTACCGTTTGTGTTAACTTTTTATCACAATAATAACAAAAACAACAACAACAATAATAATAATAATAATAATAATAATAATAATAATAATAATAATAAACATAAATTCATTTGCCGTTTTATTGTAAGTTATCCGACTACCGTATACTGTATAGTACTTTTGACATTGAATTAAGCCCATGAAACAACATATATTCTTCTTCACAATGAATTAATTACGTTCAAGCATCTATTGGAACGTAAGTCAGCAGAACAGTGTCAAGTGTCAAAACAGCGTTTTGACATTATTTTTTAAAATGTCAGTGCATATTATTGTTTTTATTGAAATCTTAAAAACTACAAATGCCCCTTCCCCTAGTTTGAAAAATTCTGGATCCGCCCCTGTTCAATGGGACTAATTAAAAATGGTTTACGTTCTACTATGACAAATGCTTGTTTGGATATCCTCATGATGCTTGGAATACATCTTGATCGATTTACAGATTTCAGGCAAAATTCCAAAATTTATTACTTCACTTTGAATTAAAAGTACTGTGACGTTCCCGGTGACATTGTGTTTTCTTAATTCATCGTAAGTATAATAATTGTCACAAATTGGTGGCCTTACAATTTACAGTAAGACATTGTTCTTATTCGTAATTTTGATGTTAATAATTCACAATCACATGGATTATGAAAATCCTGGATTTCAACATGATGGGAGGATATTATTTTAATGTAAGCCTAATATGGTGTTTTTTCAATAATATAAAATGTAAAAAGGATTTGAAAATAAATTAGTTGGTTACATTTCATACTCTTTATTTCTCGTTGTTTTAATTTTTTTTAAATCGGTTTTGGAATTTTGACATTAAAAAACATACATGAAGTCATTACGGTAGCTTGATGCCTATCAAATAACTAATACAAATTTACCAAAATTCGTCAAATATCCATAGCCCCCACTCTGTGGCCCCTAGGTGGCTTCCCCCTCCAGCCAATGGAGGCTCGCCAAGGCCCCCCTTCCCGCCGGGGCCTTTAGCCCCCCCCCCTCGTCGGGCAGGTCCTGGCGCCATCACTGGTTATACCTGAGGGTCTAGTAGGGTCCTCACTCTATATCCCCCTGATCCAGAAGGGCTTTGTTAATACATGACAGCATAATGTGTCTCTGACATCAACTGTATGACATTATATCATTAACCCAGCAATAATCCAGAGATAAAATATTCAAATTTTAAGTCTAAATGAGTGCCATTTCCGGGCATCAGAGGTGCCATAATCATAATTTGCTTTGTGACTCCCAGTATAGAATAGACTATAGGTCCCTGATTAGACCTCTGCGACGCCCGTGAGTGGAGCGGTGTCTAAGGGAGGAGGAGCATAGCTCCCGTCGGGAGGAAGTCAATAAATTTGTCGAGGAACGCTGTTTTGAAAAAGCATTTTTTATCATCTGAGATTGCCATTTCCGAGCGTATAGAGGGGCCTATACTTAAAATTTGCTTACCTCAGCCCCAACCATGGTGGGGCTGATGTGAGTGTGGAATACATATTGCCCCCCTCCCCCCCGTCAGAAAATTTCGGGATCCGCCCCTGGAATGAACCAGATGAAAGTCTACGAACATGTTTATGTCTTTACAGAATTGGGTACGCCACGCCACAATTGAACTCCTTTACTACAGAAGCTTAAAGACTTAAGATTTTGTCTTCGTGTGTCCTATTTATGTATTTCAGTACATAACACAAAATGTCATAATGGGAGTAACTTATTAAATAGTGCTTTAAGCATAATTGCCACAGTATTTAATTTAATAAGGTCTTAAATATCAAGAGTTTTAAGATAACTTAACGATTGGTTTACTTGGGTTAGCTTGTGGTTCATTTATTTCATGATGCAAAGTTGTTTTGTAATATTAATAAATAAAGTGGCCATGCTCCACAGCACACAAGATACGGCAGAATCAATGAATTATACAGTTTAAATAAAGACTTTTGATCAACATTAACGCTAGATGCTAATTGAGATTGGTCTTGGGGAAATTGTTTATATAATGATTTTTTACAGGCATTTATTAATCCCACAGGCGTTTATTAACCAAATTTAATTTTCAATATGATATCGTCACGCTGTTTTGTTGTGACATATAACTTTATTGGCCAAGTAGGCTTGCAAATTGCAGTGTCATCAAATTTGAACTTGTATCACTGGTCAATTGGTGGCCAAACTTGAAGAAAATTACCTTATGAGAGGCTTACATGGATAATCTGCTTTAATTCAAATAATATTATTATATATAATATTATTATATATATATATATATATATATATATATATATATGACTAAAACGTGCTGCTGCTGCTGTTACTTCAGATAATACAGCTGCTAATACTGCTAATCTGCTGACTGATGTTACTGCTACTACTACTACTACTACTACTACTAGCAGTAGGCGTACCACTAATACTAATGTCGATAACTGTATTTTTACATAAATAAAATATTATTTGATTATTTTGTCGTTATAGGGCGAAGAAACAAGCCAAAAGAGAAGTCCCTGCTACAGTTAGACGAAAGGCCTACAACAACTCTTTTATCTCCCCAAATGGCAAGGAACCCGGAAAACCCAACGAAGATGAAATACGGTTTCTTCAGTGCACTGAGTACGGAGATTTGCCAACGCTGCGCGCAATGCTGGAGAAGGATACTTACATGAGTCTCTTAAACTGCACCGACTACAATGACCGGACGGCGATAGAAATTGCCACAGAAAATGAGCACCTTGAAATCGTGGAATACCTTATCAAGTATGGGGACAGAAGACTAGATATGAGACCAATAAACGAATCGCTTATGATTGCAATAAGCAAAGGCTACGTGCGCATTACCAAAGCGCTACTGAAACATCCTATGTTCAGACAAAAGAGCAAAGATAAAAGTCGCTTAGGAACAATAACAAATTATTTTTGCCGGACTTCCGCGACCAACTCCAAATTTGACCAGGACATAACACCTATAATGTTAGCCGCTCACTGTAACGAGGTCGACATCATTCGGTTGCTACTCCAACGTGGAGAAGGAATAGCAGAACAACATCACATACTCTGTGCTTGTACAACATGTTCAAACAGAAGACGATTTGACCCTTTGAAATACTCGAAAGCCCGTATGCACGCCTTTAAAGCTCTTGCCAGCCCGGCTTGGATGTCTCTGACAAGCTCAGATCCTATTCTGACAGCATTCGTTCTTAGCAACGAGTTAATGGAATATGCAATAATAGAAAAGGAGTTTAAGGTAATTATGATAATATGTTGATAATTCAAATATATATTTACATACACAAACGCAAACACATCAGCTAACATTTTTGTTAAGAACCAAGTTTGGTACACATGGGGGAATAATAAAGCAGATAGGTAATTTTAAGCAATAATGGTCATAATAAACATAATGAGGTTTTCATTTTTGATAATGTTATTTTTGTTTTCTGTAATTCTTCGTCGGTTACTATAAACGAACAGCTCTGGATTTGGAAGACATGATTTCTTGCTTCACATCAATACATCTTTTAAACCTAAAGCCTTATGAATGACATTAGAATCTTCGAGACCTGTTAACGCAGACTTTACATTGGTTTTGTTATTTTATTGTTGTTTTTGAATGAAATAATAACAAAAGAGAAGACTATGACAAGAAATAACAGAGCAGAATTCTTTTTTTTTGTTATTTGGTATTATATAGTGCCTATAATTCCTTTATGATACAAAGTCGCTTTGTTTTCCCTGGCCATTGGGTCCTCATGCTTAAGTCTGCTAGTCATCAGCACATGAGCAGCAACCCCACCAGGTACCCATTTATACTCTTGGGTGGGGAGAAGCAATGCAGATAAAGTACCTTGTTCAAAGACGTTGAATGTATGTCAACTCACTTGGTTGCAGTTGATGATGAGAGCATATTGAGATGAAGCGGAATCTTTCCTTTATTGCTGCTCTTAATGTTCTCTTTTATACTGGATAATCTTTTACATACGCCATCGTCATTTTGTTTGTTTTTTGGTGTTTTAGCACAATAACTAGGCTGCAATGAGATAAATAGGATGACAATCCCGTTCAAATGCTGGTCTAAACTGATTAATTAAAAAATAAAAAGGAAGCATGAACGTGGTGTTGTCTGTGAAGCTCGGGCTGAAGCTTATATAGTTTCTCCTATATCGTAGGCCTATATTACCGATCAATATTTAAGCTTAACCAATCTGGACCATTGATCTCCGTATTGCACCATTTCAAATGCAAAATTAAGTGCTTTTTAACTGAATTCGTATTCTGTCTGTTTGTTTGTTTTTAATTATTTATTGCACTCCAATACATCAAAATACAATAATAAAAATGTCAAAAACAAAATTCAGTAAACAGAATAAAAAAATGAGAAAAGAATGCAGAGGACTATAGCTGTATAGTCCTGAGGCTTGTTCCGGTAGAGGCCTAGTGGTAGGTTAAACATCACACTTGATGCTATCCCTTTCTGGATCATGGTTCCTATTTTCGCTTGCTTTAGGTTGAGTGATATTTTATGTAAAAACAACAATAATAGGTTTGATTTGATTTGATTTATTCGCATCTCATATAAAAGTACAATCATTAAAACAATACACAATATAAAAAGCATAAAATTCATTTGAAAAAGTTACCAAAAAAAAAAAAAACAAGCAAAAGACCAGTACAAAGTCCAAGAAGATTGATGGAGGAATTGAGGAATTAATACAAAGGAGATGCAAGGATAGCCCAAAAAAGTCTTTAAAAAGTCTTATTTCCATTGGGGTCCTTATGACGAAAAACCAAGAAGGCCGAAGGCAGCATCAAAGAAATTTCAAGCCAAATTAAAACGAAAAAGAAAAAACAAAATGAAAAAGTAGAAAGGTTCAAAAAGATTAATTTCTTTTCTTTTCTTCGGTTTGTGTATAGTAGGCCTAATCTCTCTTTTCACCATGAATCTCCGAGAAAAGCTTAGCCTAATAGTTGTATTTTTTACCTTTTGACCCCCATTTCGTGTTTGAATTTATCTAAAAGAGATTGAATCAGACGTAGGCATCGCTTAATCACAATCATGACATGATAATGAGATCATTGCACTTTTGAGAAAATGTTCTAGCCATCTCCCTTTCTATCTAATACAGTCTCCTGGTGAAGTCCACTGTGGACGAAAGCGGAGAATAAATTCTATATTGTTAGTCTCAAAAGTGCTGCTTTTTTTTTCTCCTTTCAGTATCAGTAATTTAACGTGTTTACCGTTTGTATGTGTTATTAGCTACCCCGCATATTGCTAATAGTGCTTCAGTATTACATTAGAAGACGTTCAGAGTAAAATTTGAAAAATCGGGATACATAACCTTTTTCCAGGTTAATTGGAAATGGAGCCTAAAGAATGAAGTTCATATATTGTTGAAAATTTTCTGTCGCGCCATTGCTACGTAGGTGGAGTCCTGTACTAGTACTAAACAAAAAGTCGATGTCAAGTTTCTATTGTTTGTAATTCTCTCTGAAATGTTAAGCAATTAACCTGGAATAGAGTCAAAGGCCTTAGCCATATCGATTGCAGTGAAGTGTATTTCATTTCTAGCCCAATCATTTAGAGCGAGCAGGCTTAAGCCATGGAATATAGGAAACGAACGACAATTCATATTTGCTATCACATGTGTAATTTGTAGACATACTTGGCTGTAATGTTGTTATAATATTGAGAACGTTTTGAGAAAATTGTTACTGGAAATCATAATTTGTTTAGGTCTATATTGACGATATTCATTATATAAAAAGTATGGTATCAAAGCATTTTCTGCCATTGGTCAGATTTCTATCATATTATCATATTGCATAATTCCACCAATTATACCATTCATGATCATAAAACCAATCGGTACACATCTAGAAATGATTATGACCCTACAGGTTTGGTGAGCTTTTGCCAAAGTTGGTACGGTAATTTTGTGCTCTGTGTGTGTGTATGCGCATGTATCACTGTATGCATGTTTGTGTGTATATATGACCTATATGTGCATTTTATGTGTGGGGAGGGTGAGGGGTGTTTTTTTATTATTTTTTTTATTATTTCAGTAATTTCAAAAACATACAAACAGATTAAAAGCAAAACACACACACACACACAAAAATCATGACGAAAACAAATTGTCTTATGCTTAACATGGTAGTTTAGGATACTCTCGGCCTATAGTTAAGTAAATAATGGGATGAAGATATTCCATCTATCATTGAATTGCGTTATTTCAAAATTTGAAAGATAAATGTTGTTTAGAAAGAAAGTATTGTTTTAAGAAATTTAAAACACCATCATGGTTTAAAGGAAATTTTCTAAATTTAGCTGTATAAATATAATATTTTATTAAAATAAGCAGCAGATTAATGATAGATGGAGATTTAAAACCAAAGAGAATTACTTTATTTGTAAATTTAAAATGCTGCCCTAATTGTTGAAATAAAAACTGTTGAAACTATTTCCAAATTTGGTACACCATAGGACAATCGCATAAAAGGTGAACAATTGTTTCAGGTTCTAGATAACAAAAAGAGCACATTTTACAATCTGTAATTCCAATTTTAAAGAGGAAATTATTGGTTGTTAAGATATTATTCAAAATTCTATATTGGAACCATCTAAGTTTACTGTCCTGAGTACATAAGAAATTATTTACACAGAATTGTTTCCATTCCTCTTCAGTTACTAAAAAAATCATTTTACTGGACAATTTCTCTAGTGCCTTACTGTTGTATTGTTCTTTGTTCTTTTTATCTCTTATTAGCTCAGCATAGAATATCTGGCATCCTTTTTTACACTGTAACAAATATCTATATAAGATAGGTCTAAATGGACAATGCAAATTTCTATCAAGATTTTCAAGTTCTGGATACGCATGGAATAAAGCGTTTCTTATCCCCAGATACTTTAGAAAATTAATATTCAATTTAAATTCTTTACAAAATTCCTCGCGTTTTTTAAATTCACCTTTACTATCGAAGAAATCGTTAACATAATTTACACCTTTCTCGTACCATGCTTTGTAAAATAATGTGTGATCACCAATTTTAATGTTATCATAAAACCAAACATTTTCTTTAAAAGCATCATATATATCCTCATTTCTTACTTTAACCTTGAATATTTTCCATGCTTTTAGTACATCCCTCCAAAAAGGGTTTTCCATACTACCGGCCATTTATCAAAATCGAAGTTTACCAAATGCAAGACAGTGGGGCAACATTTAGAAACATAATTTTCCCCATTTAGCATCAGTTAAGTAGAGTCTCCTGATCCATGAAATTTTAAGAGCTTGGAAAAATTCATTAATTTTTATTATTTTCACAACCCCATTTTGATAGTTCTTAGACAGTTGTTCTCTACAAAATCTTTTCTGGACCCTTTTGCCAAATAAATTTATATATTATTTAGTTGATTCTTAATGTTGTCGCTTGGATATGGTAGAGATAAAATCAAATGAATTAATTTCGACAAAGCTAGCGATTTGATAACAGTAACTCTACCAAATACAGTAAGGTATCTTTTAGACCAACCAAGAAGCACTTTTGATATATTACTTATTGTATTATTATTGTTAATTTCAACCATGTCATCTGTATTTGTATTAAAAACGATTCCCAACAATTTGAAATTGTTATTCCCAATCCAATTTAATTTCTTATCCTTGCATAGGATCTGTACTATTTATTTTTGATCCAATCCATACAGTCTGGGTTTTATCGATATTTATTCTAAGCCCAGACATTGATTTAAAATCTTCCAAAATATTTAAGGTGGATCTCGGTGCGCTTTCGGTACCATCTAAAATGATTGTGGTATCATCTGCAAACATGGACAATTTATATTCAATATTATTTATTTTGATCCCTTTGTTTTTCTTTCTACTTACGTAGCATAATGGCTAGTATTTCGATACATAGTAAAAATAAGCAAGGAGAGAGAGGGTCTCCCTGTCTACATCCTTTTTTTATTTCGAATTGTTTGGTTAGAAAACCATTAATAACAACAACAGAAGACACTTCATTATATAACGTTTTGACCCATCTAATAAATTGAGGTCCAAATCCAATTATACACATCTAGATGTGTATAAGAGACAGGCTCTAGACATTTAAAGACAAATTTAAATGAAATGGAGTCGAAAGCTTTTTCGAAATCAACTAACAGAAGCAGACCAGGAATTTTATATTTTTTTGTTTGGAGTAGAAGATCATAAATCAATCTAATATTTTCACCTATATCGC